GCAGTGTGCGATACGATATCAGTTTGACGTGTGCAACGCGTTTAATTAAAAAACCGTTTTCCCTTCTTACCGGCCCCCGACGGGTTTTGTTCCTTCTCCATCGCGTTTCACGGTTCACGGTTTTTCCGACGTTGAAATGATAGCTGAAGCAGCTCCACCGATGTTCTCGTTTAATCCGTTCGAAGCCCGACGATGTAGCCGGAGTGAAAAGCCTGCGGAACTCCCAGCTATGATAACAAAAACGCGGGCCGCGTGTTAATTAAAATGTCGTAGTAATTTGTTAAATGGTTTAGTTCAATCTACGGTGAAATTCGCACGCACGTGGGAACGGAAGTTCTGCGTGTGCATGTTTTATTTGGGCGCAGGAAGTGTGATTAAATGTTCAATGTTCGAAACTGCGTTGGGAGAGCCGCGAAGAGAGAGAAAGAGAGAGAGAGAGAGAGAGAGGGGTGAGAAGCGTGTTTCGGCTATACGATAAATATTTCTGCAGAATTTTAATCATCGAGGCGTAGCGAGATTTCACAACCGGTTGGCAGTTCGATAGCCTGAATGATCGATATTGTTTGCTTTCGGTTAATTTATTGTTCATTTTCTCGTCTGTTCGCAAACCAGATTTTCGCGATTTAGATGTTATCGTAAATCATTTTAAAATGCACCGACTTTTCACCTTTTGGATGCCCTTCGTTCATTTTGTGAAATGATAATATTATTTGAAAATTATTTGAAAAATCAAGTGAAATGATAATCAGTTTGAAAAGAATAAAGCTTAATACATTTAAATATTGATTGAATTGGTGGTACGAGCACAGTATTGGTCAGAAAAAGTCTATGCAAGATTGATTACACGTTAAATGAATTATACTTCGATCTATCAATTTCTCTGTTATTCCTTCTATATAGTTTGCTTTGAACAATCAAAGTAGACCAAGCTGATTATGTGACTTATTATTAATGACATCAGTGGCATTAGTAACTCTTCAGTCAGACGAGATCTATACGTTGTGTATAGTCCATGCTTGTTTTCTTTAGCCCTCAGTCTACTTTTAATAGTATAAATTTTGACCGTGCAGAAACAATTGAATGTTGATGCAATTCATTATTAACCATATTAGTAGTATAGATTCGTTTGTGGTCAGAATAAATTATACGTAAGACTTGAATTATATTATATAGATCATTCATTGACTTTCAAAATTCTTTCTGGCTCCTTGTCAAATATTATTAATATATTCACAAAGAAGTAAACATTACTAATCCCTATCAGTAGTATGTGCACGCCACTAGTCGGACAAATTATATACAAAATAATTAGACACATGTTTCAATATTAATTCACAGATCGATGTCCGTATATTTCTCTACGTTACAACTTCATCACAGATTGCAGAAAACTCTGACAAAAATACATATTTTACCGAGTAATTCGTTCAATTCTTTTTGTCATCCGATATAATGAACCCGGCCAATTCGCTCGTTGACTTTCAGTCGGTGCCTAACAAAAGTTCCGGAGCCGCGTGATTTACTTGATAAACCATGGCGCTCGCGATGAATAATAGGTTGGCACAGGTCCTGGAAAAACGGAGAAATTCATCAAGCAGGAAAGTTTAAAGGTAATTTCCCGTGCTCCCTCGCACTGCCGGTGGCACTTTTCTCGCGACAGAAATTTTCCATATGGAGCATCGGTCCCGCCGTGATTTCGGCGAAGCATTGCCCGCGTTAGAACTTTCTGTCTGGCCTCTGAAGTTTCCACAGCGGATTCTGGGAGGACAAGGTTTGCGAGTCCACGCGACGAGTTCGACAGTGAAGAAGCGTCGCGTCGGGAATGCTCGATGGAAGCCGTTCATTTGTGGCGCAGCGTTCTCGTCGACGGTAATGACCTGGCTACCTGGGGAATACGTGAACGAAAGTTGTTCCACGACATCGGAAAAAGCAAACGTCTCAGAGCCCGACGATGTCGTACGCGATTAATCACTCCAATCGAACTGTCGAACTCGTTGACTTATACTACTCGTTCGATTCGTTAGTTACAAACACTGATTAACAGACTTCTAATGACAGAAGAAATAATTGGCTCAGAGTTCGGGGGTCTTTAACGGAATTAGTGGTTACAATTGAGCTGCCGAACTCGTTGACTTGCATCACTTGTTCGATTCGTTAGTATGTACTTAAAACATCCAGCAACATTAGAAGAAGCAAACGTCTCAGAAATTAATCAACATTCATCTCAATGATAATTCATCTTGGCTATTGATTTTTCTATCGTGAAATCTCCCTTTTTCCCCGCAAATAATCACCTCATCATTTAGATTTGTTATAATTATGAGAGTTCGCAGCTCTTCGTAAAATCGTCATTTCCGGGATTTTCTCCCATTACTGTGGTATCTGAATGCGAACTGCCATTTAGTACGAGATGAACAAACGTCGCTTTAAATTGTTGTTCATCAATGCTACGTTAAGAGCTACGCTGTTTCATTCATACCGCTTTCCTCTGCAGAAAAATTCAGCCGCGTGTATCATAGCCACGAAGTTTCATGAACTTCGTGCGGTTGAATCGATGCGACGATCGCTCAGCTGCAGATTTTCCACGCTGGCGGTTCGTAAGCTACAGCTACGGTACTAATTAAGCGGATCTTCATGCGAGTTGAAGTTTTCAATGGACAGGTATGCACGGTATAATGTAATTTTCTGAATGCAGTCTCGTATAAAATGACGGTAATTCTGTTCCGCGTAATTGGCGGGCTACTGCACAGGATCGTCGAAGACCGGCGGAATTAATTGTCCCGAATGCGATAATTAGCAGCAACGAGCGAAAGTATTAATTTCCGAATAAATGATCCTCCGCTAACTGTTAATACGAGCCGCCCTCTCCCGGTATTGAAGGCAGGAGAGAGTAATTAAAACGAACAGCGCGCGGCTCGTTCTTGGCACGGCCGGTTTACCTTTTGTTTCCCGCGCGCCGCGTTTTTCAACGGCAGAACACAAAAGTGTCAACGTGAGAAATTAAGTAATATTTCCGTGGCTGCGGCTGGCGTCAATGTCTCCGACCACCTGGTGTAATTCGAACAGAGAATTCTCGAAGAGTTTCGCTGGATAAACCACCGAGATCCATACGACACATAGGGCAGAAGTGAAAAATTCAGAGTGTCAGATCTAAAAAGTCTCCGCGAAATATTAATGACGAAATGTGGTTTATAAAAACTAGTCACGGTTCTTTCAGCGAGTATAGGAATTCGTTGTTGATATTACAATTCGGAGTTCAATGCAACAAATCAATGTATTTCTTCGATCATGTGCCACATATTTATAATTTTTCATATTAAATGTTTATCAACTTATATAATTAACAACAAATACTACTTCATCAACTTATAGAATTAACAACAAACATTCAAATGTACCTTCTTGATTTTTAATGCACTATTTCTGGACACATTGAACTTCACTTTTTAAGATCGGGTATTACTGTCGGTATTTAATATAATTTCATTTCATTTAATGAAGAATTAAGATTATTCGAAGTATATTTTTATAAAACTGTATTTTCTTCACGAATTAATAAATCTGCATATGTTCTTTAAAAAAGTATTTGGGATCCTATATCGAAATACAACACTGGAAGAAAAAGTTGCATTTATTTCGCTGCCGCTGCATCCGAGGAGATGCACTCCGTTGAAATTCTACTGTCTCGACGATCGGAATCAGAAATTTCTGTATTAATTAAATGATGCTTCTTCGAAGCAATTTCCAAAACATCCACACAAGAGCCAACAAGGAGTTTCTGGCGAAATTTCTCGAGTTCTCTTCCGAGCGCTAAGTAGTTCTCTCAGACTACGAAGTAGATCTGTTTAAAAATTCGTTATAACACGTCAGACACAGACCTCGTGCTTACAGTATCTAAATATGTAACAGACGTCGCAGAAATTTCGTACTCGACTTTACCATCCAACGGAAAATTAGTATACGGAACACTTTCCTGGAGTCACGAAAGACCCCAAGAAAATGGTTCATGTGCTTATCAATTCTATTCGACGTTGCGAATCTTTTCGTAAGGATACTCTTTCGAATGAGAACAATTAATAAACTTTTTTTTTGAACTACGTTCTGAATTACTCTCTTTTCTTTTTAGTGACGGATTTACTTGAAATGTCTGAAGATTGCTCGAGTAACAGCCAGGCTAAAAAGAAAGCTTTTTTTACGGTCGTTAAGCTAGAATGCATACCGTTCTACTTTTTATATAAAAGTAAACTAAATTTAAGGAGGAAAACGAGAACGTTTGGGTCACAGCGGTATTTTGATGAAAGCGGTACGTTAATGATCCATCGGGACAAAATACACACAGGCACACGGTAAAGACGCATAAATATAGAAACGGGGTTACATGTCAGACTGCTTTTTACGTTTTCCGAGGAATGTCCCACAATGCTTGCACAAACTTAGGTCACACTGAATCGATCGGAACCAAATTCGTGGATGCTTTTAATAGAACCTGATGCATAAAAATGTTAATAAAACCAAAAGACTTACGAAATGTTTACGAGAGAAATGTTTGGTCTAATTCCTTCGCTTTCCGGGATCAATTAAAACCGAAAAAACGACTTTCGTTTTGAACTTGGATAACGCAGTTGCAAAAACTCGTGCAGCAACCACAAAATACTCATTTTATAGACGCCGGTACCTACTTTCGTCCGATCTAAACGTAACTTGCGTGAAAAATTTTGTTTCAGCTACGTAAGATTACATAATTACAATACGAACAAACTTCTTAAAAATATGCGAACTGCTGTTTATGCTGCTACAACTTTCTCATAAAACAATGCAGCAAAAACATAGTCGAACCATTTAAAAGTACAGATCCTAGACTTTCGGATGATTGTTCGATGATATCGATACGATCGTTTCTACCGAAGTTACGAGCCCGCGAATTTGCCCCATTTCCGAATCAATCGACGCGATTTTAAATTCGATCTTCTCCTTCTTAAATTACAACGTGAACAACGTTGCTACATCGCGTTGCAATCCATCAGCTTCGGCAACGGTATCCGCCCCAAAGCTAATACACTTTGTGACGACTCATCGCTCAAACCAGCATTCCCGTCCACGCTACCAGCATGCTTTCCAAAAGTGGTACACGCTTCAATAACCCGTCAATCATAATTCTGAGCGATCCGCAATCCCGGTGAAGCAAGACGAACACGAACGGGTGCACCTACCTTTGATGAAGTCCACAGCCATTTCTAACCCGTAGGTGTCCTTGTCGCAGTCGTCGAGAATGTGTGCACCGATTTTCACGCCAGGCACAAAGTCTTGGTCGTTCAACCAGTCCAGGGTGTACAGCATAGCTTCCAAAGCTTGCACTCCACCTTGCGGCATCACAGGGCCACAGGTGATGGAGTCTTCTCTCTCGTGCACCATCATCAGACCGCCCAACACGAGATCGCCCTCCACAACCGCGCTGTGTTTCACCGGCCAATTTCGGCGTTCCAAGTCGTGTGACGAAGCGTTATCGGATCCTGCTAGCTCGTCGTACAGGCTCAAACGAACGTCGTCCTCGGTCTCTAAGCTGGCAACCGTGGAGTCAAGCTCCGACGAGCGATCCAGCTCCTCGTTGCTCAAAGACGCCGGCGAGATTTCTGGATTCTGGCTGCTGTCTGTCCAGAACACTGGGCTAGATTGCTCGCTCCACGAAGTCACGGGTTCATAGCTCTCGCTCGGAACGACCGATCGATCTCCTGTAGAGCCCGACGTAGTTGGCCTTGCGATATCAACGGGGCTGATCTTGGAGGATGCAACAGCTGATAAGATGTCAGTGCTATTCGGTAAAGCTGTCGAACTCGGATCGAAATTTTTTGAAGGCTTCGATCTCTTCTCCTTTCGGAGTCTTTGCATTTCGGGAACGTCAGCGACCGGTTCGTCAACCGGCATGGATCCACTGTTTCGATACAAAGATCCAAATCCTTCGGACGCAATTAGCGAGACTACCCGTCGTTCATTAAATTCGTCGTTCAAACCTGGCCGATAATCCGGCTTTAACGAGGTCGATTCGACTCCCTTTGCTCCCTTTGCCACGGATTTTAAAGGCTCGAGGGAGTTTTCGAGATCCTGACCGTCTGCCGATGTCACTGGGTCTTCGATCCACGAAGTCACTGGTTCGTAGATTTCGCTGGTAATGGCTGATTGATCTTCTGTAGTCCCCGACGAAGTTGGTCTCGAGATGTCGTCGGAACTGATCTTGGAGGATGCATCAGCTGATAAGGAGTCAACGCTATTCGGTAAAGTTGTTGAACTCTGTTCGAAATTTTTTGAAGATCTCGATCTCTTTTCCTTTCGAAGTCCTTTCGTCCTGAGAAGATCAGCGTCCGGTTCGTCATCGGGCATCGATTCTCTGTTTTGCTTCAAAGACCCAGGCCCTTCGGAAACAATTGCCAAGCCGTCAATCCGCTGCTCATTAACTTTCTCGTCGAAACCCTGCTGATAATTCGGCCCTAACGAGATCGATTTTGCTTCTTTTGCTTCTTTTGCTGCGATTTTCGAGGAGCCGAACGTCGCTCTCGAGACGGTCTCGTTAACCTCGGGATTAATTATGGCCTCCGTAGGCTGGTACTCCGGATTTTCGGAGTTGTTCGAATTCCTCGGATATCCTTTCGCTGGCTTTCGCCGTGCCAATCGATCGCCGGCTGTTTCGTCGTTCTTCCCGGGGATCCGGCTCTCTCTTTCCACGTCGGCAGTGTTCATATCGCTCTTCGGGTACGCGGAATTTCGCCCGATCGCCTGCCTGCCACGCTCGGAATCCGTGGGAGCGTTCCCAGACTCCTTTGTTGCGCCCTTCGACGTCGATCTTTTCATCGGTGATGCCACCGCCGGCTCCTTTTTAGCCTTCTTATCGGCGTGCTTCCGTTCCTCTCGAGCTTCTTTATCTGCTGCGTCGTTAGTTTTATTAGTTGTATCGTTGGTCAAGGGACAGGAGACGTTTATCGTTCGCGGGGCTCGATCATCCTTTGAATCGACGGTTGCGGAGATCGATCCTGTGTTAGCCGAGACTGTGCGGTGCGCCAAAGTTTCGTTTACGGTCTCGTTCTGCTGGTATTTAGGCGATTGTGATGGTCTAGTTGATTCGACGACTGTTTCTTTAGTGGGAGTTGGTAAATTTACTGGACTGCTGTTTGATGTACTTTGGTTTGGCTTCGTGATGACGGTTTCGTCCGCGTATGTGCGATTGATCCGGCGGGTTGATTGCTCGGCGTTAGTGCTGTTTCGTTTGTTGTGATTCGTCGAGCCTACTGGTCCATTGTTCGAAACAGTCCGGGTATTCTTGTCGATGTTATTCCGCATATTCGATTGTACGTTATTTGCACGGTCACGCTCGAGATGTAATTTTTCAGCTAAGACGCCTGTTTCTTTGTTATGATTTAATGAGTAAATAGGTTCACCATTCGATGCACTTTGATTCTCCTTGTCGCTATTATTTTGATTGCTCGAGTCACCATCATCCTTGCGATTCATTTCATTATTTAATACTTGATTGTGGTTCGTTGAATGTAGAGATTCTTTATTCGATACGACCTGGTTCGTCTTCTGAATGTCACCTGTCCGACTAAAATTCTCGCTATCCTCGTGATCATTCCCATCACGTAATTCTTCGACTTGAACACCGTTCTCTTCGTTATCACCTGTTAAACGAACGAGTCCTTCATTCAACATACTCTGATTATTCCTGCGAACGTTCCCTTGTCCACCAACATTGTTTTCACTTCGTCCACTGAACTCACCATTGTCCCCACGATTCCTGCTATAATCGAACTTCCGTGCTACGTCACCAACTTCCCTGTCACCCATTGAAAAACCTGGTCCACCGTTTGACACACTGTAACGATCCCTCGCACCGTCACTTCTCCCACTCAATTGCCCATCATCCACACGATCACGCCCATAATCCTCACTAAATCGTCCCTCACTGAATCGTCCTTCACTAAATCGTTCCTCGGCACTCTTCCCGTAGCCATGATCCTCCCTGTTCATATCATAACTCCCAGAATCGGTGGCCCTAGCCATCTGGACATTACCCTTATCTCCCCGACCCCGTTCGTTAAACTTTAAATCGTCTGACCCATCAGCAGGCATATAATCATTTCTCTGATTCTCACCGGAACACTCTTCGTCCCGTCTCGCCCCGTCTCGTCGATCTTCCCGACTCTCATTGGCAGTATAATTGGATCTATCTGTTCCCGGCTCTCGACTATCCTTATCACGGTCGTTCGATCCACTCAACTTCACATTTTTCTCCGCGCAATCTATCCCGTCAAAGTCCCCATTACCAGCAGCCACGGCCGCAACCCTCAAATCCTCGTTAGCAGCTCGCCGCGTATCTGTTCGATCCTCTGATTCAGCAGCTGGCGCGATTAACGCCGCATTCTCGAGCTGTGTGTCCTTTAAACTCGCCGCCGAGTTGCTCGGAGTTCCCGCTGTCGTCGTAGGCGGGGCAAGAAACTCATTAGCAACACCTAAACCGTGGAATCCTTTGCCAGACGGATCGGCCGCGTCGAATTCCTCGTTTTTCCAGCTGTTCGAAGGACGATCGGAAGCGAAACGGAAGTCGGGGCTCGTTCCAGGATCAGCCGGGATGGGTGCCGTCGTACAAGGCTCGCCATTGTCATCGCGAACCCCGTTGTTTACCGTCGATCTTTGTTCCGGCGAGACACTGGACACCGTCGCTCGTCCCGTCACCGGCGCCGCAGATTTACAAGACTCGAAAACATCCTCTTCGTCTTCTCGTCTCACGGGACTGCGGTTCGCGGATCCTTGCTCAAACGGCGACCGAGATTCCGCAGGATTTATTCCGGTTTCGTCGGGATCCACGGTCGAGCCACTTTGTTGAGAGGTTTCCGCATTCCTGCGATCGCGACGCTTTCCTGTCAGCAGGCTGTAGAGTGATCTGTCGTCTCTGGTTCTTGGTCTCCAAAGATATAATGGTCGAAGCTGGTTCGCGATTTTTCGATCGACTGGAGGATTTACGAGAGGATCAAACTGTGGATGATCAACTTCGTACTTTCGTTCAAGGTGTTCAGGTGCTTCAACGTATTCTGTCGAGGACGTCGCGAAATGTGAGAGTAATTTCTCTTCTAAATTCTGCTCTTCGGAGTTTTCTCTGGATCCTCTAACATTTAAGAAGCGCTGTTGATAATCGATGTCTACCTTGTTGTCGGACATTTTTGCTTCTTTCTCTTCTTCTGTAGATCTCGAATGTGCCAAGACCTGCGGCTGCTCCTTCAGGTTCCGATCTTCTGCCTCAGCAGTGATCAAAAGCTCCGAAAACTGCGGTTCATTCTTCGCGACATTATTTTTGGACTCCTGAAATGTTTTAACCTCTGCTTTAGCAGGTCCTCGCAAATCTATGTCCCGATGCTGATCAACTATCTTCTTCGTTTGTGTAAACGTGGCTTTACTTTTCCTGGAATCCGAAAAATCTGAACCCTGTCCATCATCTTTTAGCTTTTTCCTAGACTTCGAAAATACTCGAGCTTCTTTCTTCTTCGATCGAAAAATGCCCGACACTTGTTGATGAATATTTAGCCTCTTCGCAGACTTTGCAGACACTTCAGTTTCTTTATTCAATTGTCTGAAGAACTCTGAACCACGGTGATCAGCATCTAGCTTCTTCTTAGACTTCGAAAAGACATCAGTTTCGTCTTCACCCGATTTTAAAGAAGCTGAACCATGATCATCGATATACAATTTCTTTCTAGCCATTGAAAACACATTAGCTTCTTTTGCCTTCGATCTCAATGAGTCTGGACCATGATGATCAACATCTAGCTTCTTTCTAGACTTCGCAAACATGTCAGTTTCTTCCGTCTTCAATTCCATGGAACCAAGTTCCTCAATATCAACCTTCTTTCTAGACTCTGCATACACCAGATCACCATCTCTTCTCAAACTGTCCCCCCTATGCTGTTCATCCAGCTTCTTCCTAATCCTCTCAACACCTCCACGAAGTGATCCCCCAATCTTGCCCCGAGCAGTCTGAATCACTCCACTACCTATCGACACATGTCTCCCAAAACGATCCGCATTGCCTATTGCATATCTACTACCAGAGTCTTCCCTAGATCGTGCTGTGACCCCAGGACCTTCGAATCCAATATCGACTCCATTGAAAGTATTTCCAGTAACCCGATCGGGGGATTCACGATCTTCTGGCGAATTTTCGAAACCGGTTCTCGTTTCGCCATCACCCCGGGACCTCGTCACGGTGTCATCATCGCGGGAACTGCTTTCTACGTGACTGTAATACCCACGACCCCGATGCGACTGGGTCGTGCGACCACGGAATGCTTGTCGATCCCTCCCTCCGATGTGGATCCCTCTTCTTCCTTTGGGAATCGCCGACGTTTCCCTTACGGTCTCACGATCTTTGTGTATCACGTCGTCGATCGTCCCAGGCGATACGTTCACCTTTCCGCGATAGATCCAGGATAAACGTCGCTCTCCCGAAACTTGTGACCTGCTGACCGGTTCCTGGGTCTTATCGATGCCAGCTAGCGATCCGTTCGCCGTCTGCGATCGATCCTGTAACGCCACGGAGTCGATCGATCCCGTAGAATGCTCTTTGGAGCTGGTGTCGACAGGCTTCCCAGCTTCCCTGTATGACTCTGCATTTTCTCGATTCTCGTTGACACGATCGACCAGATTCGCATGTCCAGTGCTCTGCCAGGTTATATCGGGACTACTGCTGGTTATCCAGCCTGTCTGACGATCGTTTTTACTAAGAGAATTGGGCTCGTTGCTTCCCGATATGTACGACACGGGTCCAGCGGTTGTTTCGTCGCGATATATTGCGTCTGTTTCGTCGACGGCACCGGTGCTATGTAACGATCCTCGATTAGCATGATACGCTGACTTGCTGCGGTCTATCTGGCTGCCATAAACGACCGGCACTCGCTCCCGAGCCGAACCGTGACGCAGAATTGGCAGCGCCGTCGAAACGGCCAGGATGGCCAGCCAACAGTTGTTCCGACGCATCACCTTTCTCCCCTGGCGGTCATGTCTCGATCCTGCAACAGAGACAATTAATAGACGATTAGAACTGGGAGGAATCGGTGATGACGGTATTATGGACTTGGCATGGTCGAAATCACGCGGACGGCTGGCAATGAGCGGGTTCAATCTTCTGGAAGAGGAATTGAAACGGGAACGCTGGTTTTGGGCAAGTCTGCTAGCGGATCGGGAGATTCGGCAAACAGTGATGCGGCGGATGTTAATCTAACTTTATTTTCAGTGAATCGAATTCAGGAAATCTCCTTTGTAGCAGAAAGTTTGATTGCAAATTCGAGACTGCGATTGCTGAACGGAATTCGCTTCTCGAAGTTATTACGGCGCTGTGAAAGGCTTAGGTTGCTTGTTAATTTTCGCGATTCAACTTTAGTTTGAATTGTTTCGTCGGGTGCTGTGGATACCGTTGATCAATGACTGTGGATATTTGTGCGTGATAATAGTGAAGCAATAATAGTTAACGAATAGCTCTCATTTCGCTGCTGCCTCAAATCTCTACAGATCGACATTGTTATGTGGGTTCAAAATAATTGATGTAACTTGAAATCGGCGGAACACAACCTTTAGATAATATACATTAATTTAAATTTTAATAATTGCGATGCATAATTGATTATGAAGGAGAAACAACGGAAGAAGAAACGATATTGGTGGCTGAACATTAAATGAAGTACAGTTCATGAAAGATAATTAAATGCAATGAGTTATAGACGATTAAATGACACCGCATAGTCTGGACAATGTGGGTTCAAAATAATTGATGTAACTTGAAATCGGCGGAACACAACCTTTAGATAATATACATTAATTTAAATTTTAATAATTGCGATGCATAATTGATTATGAAGGAGAAACAACGGAAGAAGAAACGATATTGGTGGCTGAACATTAAATGAAGTACAGTTCATGAAAGATAATTAAATACAATGAGTTATAGACGATTAATTGACACCGCATAGTCTGGACAAGTACATACAGGATTTTTAGAATATTGATTTAGACTTTTAATGAAATATTGATACCGGCTTTTATTAAAATTTTGATTGCAACATCTATCAAAAGACTCATATAGACTTTGATTAAAGTATTGACGTTTATTAAAATATTGATCTCGATTTCTATTAAAATATTGACACGAACTTTTACGAAAAGATTCATTTGGCCTTTGAACAAATCATTGATTCAGACTTTTATTGAAATATTGATATTATATATTTGCACTTGTATTAAAACGTACGTATGGATTTTGATTAAAACCTTGGCATGGACTTCTATTAAATGATTGATTTGGTTTTTACGAGTTATGAACGAGAAACAGTGTCCAATGAAAAGCGAGATTGGCTTGATCGTTGGCTTGATCATTGTTTCTCGTAAATAACTTGCAAACAAAACTGCGGATTGCATTTTCGCTAGATAATTATGGGACATCCTGTATAGAAACAAGTGCATATAAAATTTTGTTACATACAAATGAATCAGTTCCTAGTGTAAAAGAAATTCAATAAGGAATGTTGTAAAAAAATTATTAAGCTAATATAAAACGAAGGTAACTTCAATGTTTTTAATATAATTGCATATTTTTTGCACTAATCGCTGCATCTGCATATTTCTTAAAAAAAATGTTAGGACAGTTATGCAGACAATTCATTAATTCAAAAGTTATGCGTTTGGTTCCGAACGCCCGTAAGGATCGTCGGACCAATTGCTGCATTAGTCCAAGATAAATCGATGATTGTTGCGAGGCTATGTTTGAAGGGTTAATTACGTTGTCCTAAGATGCATTAGGCGCAAATTCGTGGGATCCCGAAAGCGTTAATTTCCGATTGCGTGTTCTGATCCAATAAGAGAAGGAATGCTCGCGTCCGCGAACGGAGAAGCTGTTGAATCCGATATCGGGCGACGGGCGAAGAAGCTTACAGCTGCCCCGAACTCTTGGTGACTGCATTCGAACACAAATCGGCCTGCGGCTCTCCTCTGAAACTTGGATTACACTAGCTTCTCGAAGCGAGACACGCCCTAATGCGTCCCTGGGTAAACGTCAGCCTCGCGCAAGCCTTGAGAAAATTGCAAGTGGAAAGTTTCATAGATCCGCGGCGCACAGTGGCATTGCTTCCTGAAAAAGCAGCGAAAAATTCTTGCAAACGAAACTGCCGAACGAGGTTTCACAAAATTTTGTTCAAATCGATCCCTCAAGTCAATTTGTTACGTTACGTAAACAAAGTTTTCGTTGATTAAATCACTGTTGCAAAAAATGAACAGGCGTTCTGCCCATAATGGTTCAATGAACGCCGTATTAACTACAAAGAAATTGTTACTCAATATTTTCACATACTTAAACGATTAATCAATTTTGTGCACTTCGCATTGTCCTTCATTGTTTAAGATATCTGCCTAAGAGTGGCCATCCAACACGTCAGATACAGCGTACTTTCCAACGATATCTAAACTTGAATTGCAGCCAAGAGTAACCAAAGGTGGCGAAGATTTTTTTAAACATAGTTAGTTCAATGGTACAGCTTGCCAAAAAAATCAGTCCTAGGTCACTGGGACATCGAATCAGACTCAAGCATTTTCTGTTCGCCTGTGTAAATAAAATGGAGCTCAGCGCGAAAAGGTTTCCCGTTAATCCACGTTACACAATGTTTAACGACGTTTTTAAACATTATTTTTCTCCGATAAGAATCTACACTATATGTAACAAACGACATAACTATTGGATCGCGGAGTGTTCAATTAATGACGGTATTCCGTAATTGAGCCGTTGGAAGCAGAAATGGTGAAAGTCGAGAAAGTTAATTTGTGGATAATGAAGGACAAAGTCAAAAGTTCTGTACAATGCAATAACGTACAAAATTGTTACAACTTCTTTATTTGAGCCACTTCCAAGCTTAACCTTAAAATAATAGAAAAAGGGATCGAACAGAATATTAAATTAAATATAATTCAATAATATCCAAAAATTGACTTAAGCCACTCTTGCTTTAAACAAGTAAATTGTCGCACTGAAAATGGATGAATTCGAAGGCGAGGAGAATAGGTTATTTGTCATGCGTGTATCTCTGTGAAAAGTTTCTCTTTTTATATCAGACTTTTTCGCGCATTGTGGTCTCGCTATTAGATAATACAAAACTGATTTTGTTTGCTGCCTCGGCACCGCTGCTACGATGAGTCTTTTATCGGGGCAGGGGTTGCCCGCGATTGATACGATTGAATCGTTCCGCAGAACGAAGTTCATTTCGGCCCCCGGGGCTATAAGGTGCGCGTCCGGGTTTGTTACGGGTGAAATTGATAAAATCGAAGATATTCGGGAAGAAAAAGGGGAGCGGAGGCTTCGTTGATGGTGATGTTGATCCACTAACGGGGCCACGTCCGACGAAATTGCGGCCCGTTAAACCCGTGGACCTCTGGATGTTCGTCTGTGTCCGTCTTCGCTATTGCTGCGAATTGCTTTCACTAAATTACTGAGGGCTTCCGCCTTTCAGCTTCGGATCGCACCAGTTTATTGAATACGTTAATGTATGACCGGCGACAGCAATGTATTCAGCGGCACAAGTAATTGGCGACGTTGGATCTGGTTATTTAAAACAATGCTTTCAACCACTTGTCGGTACATATTTATTTTTATATTATTATATTTTGAATTTATATTTATATTACTTTTGTCGTTACGTGTTTGCGAGAAGAAGAATTAATTTGAAATTCAGTTTTTCTTTCCATTCAAACAGGATTTTCTGCGATGATTGCAACGAAGAATAAACACAGAGCAAAATTAAATATTGAGGAAGGAGAGTGTTTGCCCAAAGATCGAAAAATGTGGGCAAACGAAAGGAATTCAGAATAATCAAATTCATTTATTAAAAGGCTCAATATTTAATTTTGCTCTGTATATATTCTTCATTGCTATCATCGGAGAAAATCATGTTTCATACAAATATGTAGACGTGAATGGAAAGAAAAACTGAATTTTTCAAATTAATTCTTTTGCAGATAATATTCGTTTTATTACTCCCCGATCGTTCTTCGTCGCATATATTTATATGATCATAAATTCGTTTGCAAAAAGCATTCGTCGTTTCTGCATTCCAACATCGTGAAACTGAAAAACGAACGACACCTTCTGCAAAAAAGATAAATTGTCATAAATGAAACTAGTCGCACACAGAATCGTCTAATTAATTGCACGTAGTATTTAATTACAAATCAGAATTTCAAAACATAATCTGTCCCATGCAAATAAGTTGCTCTCGCATTCGGTAAAAACAGGCAGCGACGGTCAGACGAAGACAAATCCGTTGAATAGCACTCGAAGTTAAACTCTCCTTACAGTATGCACACTACAAAAGGAGGCAGAACAGTATCGCGAAGTCAATTATTTTGTGATTCAGTGCTCGGATAAAAGACTCACACTGCTGGTTCAGAAAGCAATCGATAATTTAATCGTTCCGCCGTATGCTGCATAAATTCAACATCTCGAAAGCTGCGAACTCTCGATGTGGCATAAATTCCCTTTCACTTAGAATACCAGCGAGGTATAACATCAATAAAATATCGAATCCGAATAAATATTGCTTCTCACTGTACAAGGGCTTCCTTTTGGTTCATCGAATTCCGTTAACAATCTTCTTGTTATGTAAAGGAAGATGGGGATAGAAGATCGGCCACATTCTATGACATCTGCCAATAAAAGTCTAGTTTTTCCATTTACTGTATGATTCTTAATTTGTAACTTATCCTTGACGATGTAAATGAAAGTTTATCGAATTAATTTCGTTGGGCGATCACTTCATTAAATTTATATATAATGAAATATAATATATTTCTAATATATATTTCGTTAATAATATATTTATAAATAATATATTTCTATATTATTTCTACATTATTTCTATATATAATAATATATATATTTTATAAAAAATTAATATAAATGTAATATAATATATTAATATAAATTTCATTATATATTAAACATTTAAATATTAATCTAGTCCCAAACTATACA